TCAGGCATATCTACTGGATAATACTGGATAATAATTTAAATATAACAATTTTTACTTATTTATTAAACAATTTTCAATCCATTAAGCAATTTTTTATTCATTAAACAATTTTCAATTCATTAAGCAATTTTTTATTCATTAAACAATTTTTATTCATTAAAATTTTATTTATGGCTTTATCATTACTGTCGATGTGAATGAGTTTTTCAATTACCGTTTTTTTTTACAATTGTAAATGACTTTATTTATAGGCAACTATCAAGACATTGTAATTCACGATTATTGTAATTCACGATTATTGTAATTCAAGGTTATTGTAACTCAAGGTTATTGCTGGCTTCATCTCAATCTGTTGGCACAATTCTTCATGTATTAATACTTGAGTTTCATTATTTTTAATTTATCAATTCTATCCACCATTACCTATTTTTAGCTTCTTTCGTAAAATCCAGCAATTTCATGATTTACTTAATTATTGAGTTCAAGAATCATGAGCATATACTTAAACATATTCAATTACACATATGCATGAGAATGTTACTAATAAAATATAATTTATAAGAAATCGAAATCTATGTTTGACATCTATTAATTATCAAGTTCATGTAAATTTTCTATAGTCTAGAAGTCTGTTATTCTGATATCAATTTGTTGAGATCTATAATGACATTAGAATTGTTATTGCTAATATAGTAAGATTAATGAATAAGCACCCCCTTTTTTTGATAATTTCAGGATGAGCTTATTCATAAGGATACGGTAAATATAAAATAATCGAACAAACTTCATTTGCAAATCCTGATATTTACTATATAATGTCTCGATATTAATAATCTCTCTTAAACCAAACTAAGTGTTTTTAAAACATGTTACAAGTGACTTATTATTCTATGCGTTATTAATTTTTCATTAGAGAAAGTAAATCTAGATCAAATTCACTAATTTACTGAATTGCAACTTGCAAAAAGAAAAAATAAAATTCATATTCGGAAAATACATGTTTAGATCTCTTATATCTTATTTCAATTTAGCCTTATCTTTATCCGCATATCGATTCGCTTTAAAATCTTCATGCCATCTTGAAGCTAGTTCGTACTCAATTTCATCAGTTTGTTTAGATTGTTGAGATAACCATTCATTACGATCTTTATCAAAAAGTGAATTGTATTCATTGACTTTCGAATCAATTAAAACCTTCCAATAGGTTTTGGTACCATTTTTAATCTTTGTGT